TTTGCCGCCGTGCGGGCCTACTTATGCATCACCAGCTTTATGCACGGCTCCCCGTTCACGGATTGTCCACCCGATGTGTTTCCAGTCATCAGAACGATGGTGCACCTAGTGGAAACACTTACGACTCTTATTTGTGCATCTGTTGGACAATCTGAAAGCACTATTACCCAGTAAGAAATCGGGAAAAAAATTGAATACTTTGGAAAGTAACGGTCTTGTCAGTTATTTTATTTGAAGCGATTTTTTGCATTTTAGGTTAAAAACTTACTTTCTCAGTGCTTTGGCCGGTCTCAACAGTCTTGTCCTTTCCTGTCCGACAAATATTCACTGTACAAACTCAACTTCTGCAGATGCGCGATTCATCATGTCAACCCTTAGCACTACTTCCAAAACACTGCTCAGCGCCTCTCTCTTTCCGGATATAGCTGCAGAAACCCTAATTACTTCCCTTTGTTTCCTCGCACGTCTCCAGCCAGATGCCCTTGACTCCTGGCAGTCTTACTTCGGTGACTGGGTGGTTTTTAGACCCCTTTTGCTATCTTCCACGTCTATTGGTGAAGAAGTACTGTCTACTCTAGTCTTTTTCCTTTATTCGTCTTGCAAAGCTGGTGGTGCGGAAAATTCCCGTTTGATCATTTTTGTGCTGAGTAACCTAGTTAGATTGTTTACACCAACTGAAGAGGACTGTGATGAAAAGGTCGTTCATCTCGCCAGTGTCTTTGTCTCTTTCCTCACCCTTAGTGGAGAGGACTCGGAAAATCCTAACCTCCTCTCCCTCGCAACCGGTTCGGTTCCCACAAACATAGCTCTTTCCTTTGTCTGGACGTGCATTATCTCTCTGGCCGGGGCATCTCAACTACCCAAAGAACCTATGTGGACTCTCGCCAATGTCTATGTCCATCTCTACGAGCGGGCTTCGACAGACGTCTGGAAAATTAATCCCTCACCACTTCCTCTTTCGGAACAACTATACGAACAGCTGTCAGTAAGGGGTGACGCACCTACTAGTCTTTCATTGGAGTCTTCCTGTAACTG